TATGGAAGCCCCTTGAGTTCTCCGACTCTTATCTTGTTTAGACAAGGTCATAGTCAAAGTAGAGGTTCTCTCCTCCCTTCAGAGAAAGGCACCTCCCTCTTTGAAGACCTGTTCTTTCCACTGGGATCTCACTCACAGAGATCTTTCATTTAGTTTTTTTTTTTTTTTTTTTTTTTTTTTTTGCCAGAGTGTCTTGGCTTTCCATGCCTGAAATACTCTCATGGGCTTTTCAGCCAGATCGGAATGCCTTTAGGGCTGATTCTGAGGCCAGAGTGCTGTTTAGGACATCCGCCATTCTATGAGTCTGCTGAGTATCTCGCTTCCCATGTTGGATCACTCTCCCCTTTATTTATTCTATCGGTTAGTATTAGCAGAGAGGCAGAACTGTAGTCATAGAGGAGAGGTAGAGATAGAGATAGAGATAGAGATAGAGATAGAGATAGAGATAAAGAGAGAGAGAGGTCTTCCATCCATTGGTTTACTCTCCAAACAACTGCAATGGCTGGAACTGAGCTGATCTAAAGCCAGGAATCAGGAGCTTCTTTTGCATCTCCTAGGTGGGTGCAGGGGCCATCTTCCCCTGATTTCCTAGGCCATAAGCTGAGAACTGATTCAGAAGAGAAGCAGCTGGGACATGAACCAGTGCCCATGTGGGATTTCAGCATTGTACGCAGAGGCTTAACCTACTATTCCACAGTACTAGACCCTAGGAATAAATTAAGCAAAGAAATGAAAGATCTATACAATGAAAATTATGACATTGATGAATGAAATTATCAAAGACACAAAAATTGGAAACATTCCTTGCTCATAGATTATAATATTATTAAAATGTCTACACTACCTAAAACAATCTACAGATTCAATGCAATATTTACCAAAATACCAATGACATTCTTTACAGAATTGCTAAAAAAAAAAAAGAACCTAAAATTCATATGGAATCACAAATGACCCAGAATTGCCAAGTGATCCTTAGTAAAAATAACCAATCTGGAGATATCACAATACTGGACTTCAAGGCACACTACAAATCTATAGCAGTAAAAACAACATGGTTTTGGCATAAAAACCAACACATAGATCAATGGAACAGAATCGAGAGCCCAGAAAGTAGTCCATATACAAGCAACCAACTGATTTTTGACAAGTGTTCAGACCATATATTGGAGTAAAGATAATCTCGTCGACAAATGGTGTTGGCAAAATAGGATGTATAAATGTAGAAGAATGAAGTTATATCCATATCTCTCACTATATAAAACAATCAACTTAAGATGGGTCAAGGATCTAAATTTAAGCCCTGAGACTTTGAAATTGTTGGAAAAAAATGTAGGAGAAACACTCCAAGACATTGGTTTAGGTGGCAATTTCTTAGATAAGAACTTTAAAACACAGGCAAGAAAAGCAAAACTAAACAAATGGGATTATATCAAATTCAGAAGCTTCTGCATAGCAAAAGAAATGATCAACAGAGTGAAAAGGCATCCAACAAAATGAAAGAAAAATTGTGAGCTAGCTATTTCACAAAGAATATATCTAGAATATATCAGCAACTTAAAAAACTCAACAACAACAACAACCAATCCAGTTGAGAAGTGGACAAAGGATCTCAATAGACAGTTCGCAAAAGAAGAAATACAAATGGCCAACAAATACATGAAAAAATGCTCAACATCACTAGCCATCAGGGAAATGCAAATCAAAACCACAATCAGATATCACTTCACACCTGCCAGAAAGGCTAAAATCCCAAACACTGAGAGTGACAAATGCTGGCAAGGATATGGAGAAAGGGAACACTTATATACTATCAGTGGGAATGTAAATTGGCCCAACCACTGTGGGAAATGGTATGGAGACTTCTTGAAAAACTAGAAATAAACTTACCCTATGATACAGCAATCCCACTACTGGGTATATACCCAAAAGGCAGGAACATGTATCAGAAAGATACATGCATCACCACATTTATAGCAGCACTGTCCATAATTGCCAAAATATAAAATAAACCAAAGTGAATAAAGAAAACATGGCATATATACACAATGGAATATTATTTAGCTATTAAAAAAGAATGAAATTTTTCTATTTGTAGCAAAATGATGCAACTGGAGAAAATCATGTTGAGTGAAATAAGCTGAACACAGAAAGACAAATTCCACATATGCTTCCTTATATGTGGTAGCTAAAATTAAAAAAAAAAGAAAAAAAGAAAATGAAAAAAATGCCTATGAGTATCTATATTGTCACAAATATGGTTTTGTTAAACTTTGTTTTATAGCTTTGTCAAATTAATGGTTAAAATAATTATATTGCTATAGTTTTAATGGTCTGTGATTAATTTTAAATTTGCTGTATATGGGTGAAATAGTCATTTTTCTGTTTGATTATTGTTTATAGCCTTTGCCTATATTTCCACCAAACTAGGGTCTTTTTGCTTTTAACTTGCTGAACTCTTTATTTACTGGAGCATTAAGTCTTGACTGCAATGTAAATTGAAGATATGTTATCTCAAAAGTGAAGGGGAGAAGGGAAAAAGGGAGAGGGAGAAAAGAAGAAGGAGGTGGGGAGAAAGGAAATATAATCACATTCTTGGAGCTGTATCTATGAAGTATATTGAGTCTGTTAAAAGCTAAAAAAAGTAAATAAAAAAAGAAACAAATTCTAGAGCTAAAAATGACAAAAACTGAAGAAATTAAAAACAAAACCCAAAAAGGTGTTAATACTTCTTAGACCATCCTCACCCCATTTTCCTCTTTGTACCTCAAGTCATTCTATCTGCTTGTAAATGTTCCCTTTTAATGTCTGACCAAAGTAATTTTCCTTATGAACTGTTCCCTTATTCTCCCAACCAGAAGCAAAAACTGAACTACATGAATCACTCACATAGTAGTATATATTGCACATGTGGTTCTTATTACTTACTAACTCATGCTGCAGTAGTTTGTATTCTTGTTTTATATTCCTTAATGGACTACAAGCTTCTTAGGGATAGAGATTATTTTAAATTAATTTTCATATTTCTCTGCAGAGTCATTAATTTTGTTTATCCTTGTTTGTGGGAAGGATGGCAGGCTATTAACCCCAGGTGTTCCTCAGCACCAACCAATTACTTTTCCCTTCCTCTTGAAACTTGTCTTTTGATTTTCATGACTCATTATGTCGCCCATATGCATTGAATATTCAAATGGTTATGGTGGTTTAGTAGGAGCAGCCGGGACAGGAACCAGTGCCCATATGGGATGCCAACACTGCAGGCTGTGGCTTTACCTGCTATGCCACAGTGCCAGCCCCTCAAGCAGAGATGAAGGAAGGGAGAAAGGAAATGCTACATGCTTAAGACTTTGTCAATTGTTCCTGAGGGAAAGATTTGCAAGAAAGTGATTGCTATGATTTGAATATAGTTTGTCCTTACCAAAATTCATGTGGATGTTCGGTCCCTAATTTAGCATTGTGGGGAGTTGGGGCCGAGTGGGAGGTATTTTGGTCAAGGAGTGGAGCCCTTGTGAATGGATTAACGCCTTTCACTCATGAGTGAGTTCTTGGTCTTGTGGGACTGCATTAGCTACTGTGAGAGTAGGTTGTTGTAAAGTGAGACCACCACTCAGGTTTTATCCATTTGCCTGTACCCAGAAAGCCTTTATGCTTTGAATTAGCATGAGATTCTCAGAAAGTAAGCACATGCCAGCACCATGCTCTAGGATTTCCAAATATCCAGAATCTTAAGCCCCCAAATCTCTATTTATTTAAGTGAACTGGTGTCAGGTGTTTTGTTACAGCTACACAAAATGAACTGAGTTATAGAATCACAGTGACAAGTGACAATATGCTATTATCACTGTTCCTTACTCCAAGTGTAATGGGTGAATTAGATCAGTGAAAGAAGGTTAGGAGGGACTTCAGTATTATGTAACTCCTTATGTGCTATTACTGGTGCACCCTAGATGATCAGAGACTTTCTTAGTACATTGCAAAATACCTTACCGTTAGCGTGGGCACTTGGCACAACAATTAAAATGTGGCTTGGGATACCCACATCCCATATTGAAGTGTCTGGATTCTAGTCCTGGCTCTGCTTCCAATTCCAGCTTTCTGTGAATTCTGAGAGGTTCAAGCACTTGGATTTCTGCCACCCATTTTGGAGATTAGGGTTGAATGTTGGGCTCCTGACTTTGCCTTGGCCCAGCCATAGCAGTTTATGGGCATTTGGGATGTGGATCAGTGGATGGGAGATCTCTCCCTTTCTGTTTCTTTCTCTCATCTACCTGCCTTTAAAATAAGAAAAAAAAATCTTGCTCTTGAACTGTAGATCGCAATACAATTCATATTATTCCCCCCCCCCTTTTTTTAAAAAAAATATTTATTTGAGAAGTAGAGTTACAGGCAGAGAGAGAGGTCTTCCATCCATTCTATGCCACAGTGCCAGCCCCTCACTGTAGTTTTTTAAAAAGATTTATTTATTTATTTGAAAGGCAGAGTTACTGAGAGGCAGAGGCAGAGGCAGAGGCAGAGACAGAGGAAGGGAGGGAGAGAGAGAGAGAGAGAGAGAGAGAGAGAATCTTCCATCTGCTGCTTAACTCCCCAAATGGCTGCAATTGCTGGAGCTGAGCTGATCTGAAGCTAGGAGCCAGGATCTTCTTTAGATCTTCCATGCAGATGCAGGGGCCCAAGCACTTGGGCCATATTCTACTGCTTTCTCGGGCCATAGCAGAGAGCTGGATCTGTAGAGGATTAGCCGGGACACGAACTGGTGCCCATATGGGATGCCAGTGTCTCAGGGGGAAACTTAGCCAACTACACCTCGGCTCTGGCTTCATTATTCCCATTTTAAAGATGAGGGAAACTAGAATGGGAAATATGTCTGAAGTGGAGAATTCATCAAGTGATCTTTCCTCTTTTTGATGTTATACTGCCCCAATCATACACTTTCACAATATGAAATATATTTCCTGGGTCTCTTATTTTAGCATTTATTATTTTTTTCTTATTTTTTTCAGGGCTGCAAATGTTGCTGCTGTTTTGGAGTTCTATGCTTCCTGGAATACTGTGTGGGTCAGGCTCTTCCTTTTGCTAATTATAATGTTCGGATTGTCAAAATGATGACACTGTTATGACTGCCTGCTTAATTGTGAGAATTCTGCTTCTCTTAGTTCCATTTCAGTTAAGTTGCTCAGAAGGAATAGTTGTTTCTAATGTTTATTTCTGACAAAATAGCACTAATGAAAACACTATAGATTCATCGCTCTCCAATCATTTGTATATGGTGTGACCCACCACATGCTGCTTTTGCAGATTTACACCTTCAGTACAAACTTGTAAGCTAAAGCCCTTAGGAAAGAGGGAGGGAGGGGGGGGGGAGTGAAGGGGAAGGGGAGGCTGGAAGGGAGGAAAGGAAGAAGAGAGAGAGACAGAGAGAGAAGAAAAAGATGAATTTTTTTTAAAGTTTGACTTCCAAGTCAGGGCAGAGAGGAAACAATCAAAAATGCTCATGACATTGACATTTTAGTGATGATGCGTGTAAGATTATTAAGCTGTTCAGGATTTCAATGGCATTTTTCTCAAATGTAACCTACAAATTGAATATACTTAAAAAATTCCAGAAAGGTTATTTTCAATTTTTTGGAGGGTAATGATGGTAAGTGATGTGTGTTACTGATCTTATAATAGAAATAATGACTTCAACCAGGTTTTCTAAGAAAATTAATGACTGCTTGAGGTTAATGGTCTTCAGTCAATCTCTCAGTCAGCCATTAATCCCCAGGAAATGCCCTGGGCCTTGATCATTATTGTGCAAATAATACAAAAGTGGGTATAGTGCTCCTGTCAGATGGGAAACATACACAGCCCTTGTTCTCTCCTGGACCCTCTTTATGACAATAAGAATAACATAGTAAGGGAAGAAACACAACCACTTTGCTATCAATGCAAATAAATTGCCTTGTTTAGACAAAATTATTAAAAAATATTAAACAAACTCGAACTTTGTATATTTGAGTAAGAAATAGTAGCAGACAACATGAATTCCTGGACAGCTGTAGTTAGAGTTATGAGTGAAGTGAAACGTAGAGCCAAACATTGAATGAGAATAAAGCAATTACTGTCATATTAGATATTTCAAATTAGAACCAGGGTTAAATAAACACATCAGTGACTACTTTAATGGCTGCAAACAAAAGATAGCACTGAAATTTATTTAATTCTATGACCAATGAAAATACCTTAAGTAACTACATTTTAAGAGATTTCAAATAAATATTATGATGACTAGTGATATTTTTCTTATCTTAGAATATCAAAGGACTTTTATAGTCCATTTCTTAGGTTATTTTGCATTCTGGGATTTTTAAGAAGGCAAATAGTAAAATGAAAAACATGTGCAGGAAATTAGTATAGCAGTTGCCCTCAACTGCCAAAGGGGATGTTACTGCAGTGGAAAATGCTTAGATTTTCTTTGAATAGAGATGTGCTTGGCTAGCATCATACCACATCCCAAATTCAAATTCAAGCATAGAACTTTACACTAAGTAGTTTTCAATAAATATTTGTGGAATAAGTGTGTGCTCCTCTTTGTCCTCAGAATTCCTTGTATATTTGGGAGATTAGCTCTCGACCTTGGCAAGTGTTTTCTCCTAGACTGTCATTTACCTTTTAGCTTATGATTTTTAAAAAAGTTAATTTTTTACAAAAGATTTATTTATTTATTTGAAAGGCAGAGTTACAGAGAGGCAGAGGCAGAGAGAGAGAGAGAGAGAGAGAGAGAGAGAAAGAGAGGTCTCCCATCCGCTGGTTCACTCCCCAAATGGCTGCAATGGCCAGAGCTAGGCCAATCTGAAGCCAGTAGCCAGGAGCTTCTTCCAGGTCTCCCACACAACTGCAGGAGCCCAAGGACTTGGGCCATCTCCCACTGCTTTCCCAGCCCATAGCAGGGAGCTGGATTGGAAGTGTAGCAGCCAGGACTTGAACTGGAGCCCATATGGGATACCCGCACTGTAGGCTTTACCCACCACGCCACAGTGCTGGCCCTCCAAAAGTTTACTTTTTCCATTTAAGAGCCTCTGGATTTTGAGTTTCATTATTATCTATTTTAAAGTCTATTGATATACATATATATATAATCATTTTTAACTTATATTTTTCACTTTGTTGGAAAAACAAAGGGCGAGAGCAAGAGCGAGAGACTTTCCCATCATCAATTTACTCACCAAAATCCCTTTTGGCCTGTCTGAAGCCAAAAGCCTGGAATTCCATCTGGGCCTCCTATGTAGGAGGCAGGGACCCGAGTTTTTAGCCATCATTTGCTGCCTTCCAGATGCACATTAGCAGGAAATTGGATTGGAAATGGAGGAGCTGGGATTTAATTCAGGAACTCATGATAAGGAATGCAGGTGTCCCATGCAGCAAAGCAACCACTGCACTAAACACTGGGCCCAGGACTTTGAGCTTTGGAAAGTCTTTCTTGACATCCAAGTAATACAGGGATTCATTGCTATTTTATTCTAGTGCTTGTAGAATTTCATTTTTTCCTATTTTTTGATTTTTGTATTTTGCATTTTCACTTATGGGGGGTTAATTGTGTTGTATGGTATGAAGCATGGATTCCTATTTTATCTTTGTCCAAATCACTATATAGTTGTAATGATTCTGTTTATTAGAAAGTCCATCTTATCCTCACAGATGTGAGATGCTATCTTAATTACACCCTAAATTTCCATATGAAGTTGGATTTACCTTTAAACTTTCTGTTCTATTAGTGTGGTTGTTTATTCATATGCCAAGTTTTGATTTATAGGTGACCTAATCATGTCCCCATGGGCTCTTCATTATAAGGAGCTTGTCAGTTAATTTTGCATATTTTCCTACATAGATTTCAGAGCCAACTTAACTACTTTCAGAAACAAAAATTTCATGCATAGGTATTTTTAATGAATCACATTATAGCTATGTTAACTAGGAGATACTCAATATCTTTTTTGTTGTTGAACTAATGAAGAACAAGAGCTTTCTTTCCATTTCCTCTGTTTTGTTTTTCAGGAGTGTTTGAAATGCTTTTCATGCAGGTTTTGTACATTACTATAACTTTTTAAGAAAAATTTAATGCATAAGAACTCAACTTCTTAGGGGAGATAATTTTTTAAAAGTTTATTTATTTATTTATTTGACAGAGAGAGAGAAAGAGAGAGGAGGGGGGAGAAAGAGAGAAAGAAGAGAAATATTTCATTTGCTGATTTACTTTCCAAATGCTTGCAACAGCCAGCACTGGACTGGGAGGAAGCTAGGAGCCTAGAACTCCATCCAGGTCTCCCACATGGGTGACAGGGACCAAAGCCTTTGAGCCATCATCCTCTGCCTCACAGGATGCATTAACAGAAAGTTGTGCTAGAAGCAGAGTAGCTGGGACTCAAACAGGACTCTGATATTGGGATGCAAATGTCCCAATAGATGGCTTAAGTTGCTGCACCACAAAACCAGCTCCTAGATATTTCAAAATGATGCTTATAGCTCATACTATTAGATTTTTCTAATATTGAACTACTTTTTATACTTATATATTAATTCCTATTTGGTCATTATATTAATTTTTTAAAGATTTTTTTATTTGAACATAGTTACAGAGAGGGGTAGAGGCAGAGAGAGAGAGAGAGAGAGAGAGAGAGGAAGAGAGAGAGAGAGAGGTCTTCCATCTGCTGGTTCACTCCTCAGTTGGCTGCAATGGCAGGAACTGCACCAATCCAAAGCCAGGAGCCAGGAACTTCTTTCGGGTCTCCCACACAGGTGCAGGGGCCTAAGGACATGAGCCATCTTCCACTGCTTTCCCAGGTCATAGCAGAGAGTTGGATCAGAAATGGAGCAGCTGGGGCTTGAACCAGTGCCCATATGGGATGCTGGCACTGCAGGTGGCAGCTTTACCTGCTACACCACAGCTCTAGCCCCATGTTATATTAATTTTAATATGCTGTTGGATTCTGTTCCCTACTATTTCACTTATAAGATTTTGCCTCAACATTTTGAAATGAGATAATTTTGTGTTTTTTCTTACTGTGCCATTTTATTAAGTGTATTTGTCAATAGCATATATTATTTGTCATAAAATTTCTGGAAATGTCTTCTTCATCTATGCTTGGAAAAATTTAAGCATCATTTGATTATCTAATCTTTGAAGGTTTGGCCAAATACCCATGAAATCATCTGTGCATGGTAATTTTGGAGGGCCAATTCTCCATTTCTTGTATGAAAATTGATAAAAAGTTTTGTTGTTTGTTGTCATAAGAGCTATATATTGGAGTCTGTAATAGGATAATGGTCTGAATTCTCAGAATTTGTGAATATGATGCAAAAGGAGTTAGATAATATGAGATTTCATAGCAAAAGTGACTTTGCAGCTGTGACTAAGATCTAGAGACTGAGAACTTATCCTGGGCTATAATCAGATGAGCACTTAAAAGTGGATAACTTTCTTCTTTGTGGGTCAGAGAGATGCAATGTGGGAAGCACTTGACCTGTGATAGCTATTGCTGGATTTGAAGACAAAGTGGCCACAAGCTCAGGAGTCTGACTGACCTGTAAAGCTGGCATGGCTCTCAGTGGATAGCCATGAATAAAACAGTAGCAATCATAGGAAATGAAGTGTGACAGCAGTACAAATGGCAGGAGATATTCATCTTCAGAATTCTTGGACAAAAAAGCAGCCTGCAGACACACCTTGACTTTAGTCCAGGGAGATTCATATTGAATTTCTACCCTACAGAACTATAAAATAAGGAATCTGTATGCCTGTAAAAATTATTTAATTTATTTGAGAGATAGTGAGACAGAGAGAGAGAGAGAGAGAGAGAGAGAGAGAGAGAAGAATAAAATAGTAGGGACTTTATAAAGATAGCATGCTTGTCTCTCTCAAAACAATGCAGGCATTAGCAAACCAAGGGTATGATACAACATTTATTTAAAAAAAAACGAACAACAACACTATCATTTGTTGCTCTGTAGTAGTCTTTTGGGATGTCTCTGGTCTGTATGGTTGCAGATTGTTCATCTCACTATCATGCCCCAGGAGATTGCACTTGTCACTTCTGCTTACATTTAGCATGGCAGAACTTAGGAACGTCATGCATCCGTACATTCCCACCTGTAAGGAAGACCTCAAAATGCAATGTTTGTTTTCAGTGCCCTTCTGTCCAGATAAAAACCCAGAGATGGTCTAATAATGGAAGATGGAGAGAATGGATCAGGACGCCAACTGTTGGTGTATGCCACATCCCTTTTCTCATGAGTCTTTTCATTTTTTCCTTTAAAACTAGATTGTTTGCATATACACTGTCTCCCTCTCTTGTTCTGCACCACCTCAGTATTCTGTTAAAGAATGTTATCCAGATGCAGTCCCTCAACCTTGCACCTCCAACACTGTGAGCTAAGTAAACCTCTTTCCTTTATAAAGTTTAAAAACAGTGGGAGGGAGATGTTGTAATGTAGTGTAAGGTTAGTTAATGCTTGGAACCCCTGCGTTCCACACTGGAATGTCTGGGATCAAGTTTTGCCTCTGCCTCTGCTTCTAATCTAGTTTCCTGCACATAAGCAGCAGCTGACGGGTCAAATGCTGAGCCCCCACACCCACGTGGGAGATCCAGATGGAGTTCCTGCCTCCTGGCTTTGGCTTGGCTCAGCCCCCAACTGTTGTGGGCATTTGGGGAGTGAACCAGCAGATGGGCAATATCTCTCTCTCTCAGTGTCTTTCTCTGTTTATCTCTCTCTATCATTCCACTTTTCAAATAAAAAAAAGAATAAACTTTTTTTTTTCTAAAAAATTGATTGTTTCTTATTGGTTTAAATGCATTAAAATTTATTTTGGCACACAAAAATGAAATCCTTTTACAGTATTTTCATAATACAGCTTTTTGTTAAGTTTCTGAAAATTCCTTATATGCAGGGATTTCAAAATTTTTTCACATTAAAACAAGCCTTTCTTGGGGCTGACGCTGTGGCATAGCAGTTAAAGCCACCACCTGCTGTGCTGGCATCCCATATGTGTGCCGGTTCAAGACCCGGGTGCTCCACTTCAGATCCAGCTCTCTGCTGTGGCCTGGGAAAGCTGTAGAAGATGGCCCAAGTCGTTGAGCCTCTGCACCCACGTGGGAGACCCAGAGGAAGCTCCTGGATCCTGGCTTTGGATCGGCTCAGTTTCAGCTGTTGCAGCCAACTGGGGAGTGAGCCAGTGGATGGAAGACTCCTCTCTCTTTCTCTCTGCCTCTCCTTCTGTCTCTGTGTAACTCTGACTTTCAAGTAAATAAATATCTAAAAAAAAGCCCATCTTTGAATTCCATTTTCCATGAAGTACCCTCATATAAATATATATGTTCATATATTTATATGACTTAATAATTACAAATATTCAATATTTTGGTATTGTTTGGTTTAGAGGAATGGAATTATAATACATATAGCTCTGCTTTTAACTAACAGCATCTTGTGGAAATACTTTAAATTATTGACAATAGCCTGAAAATATTTGTAATTTGCAGCTTGTTGTTTCATGGTCTGCTTTTATCATGACTTATTCAAAATTTTCCCCATTAAGTGGTGTGTACTCCCCCCACCCATTTTTTGGCCACTGTCCTAAAAATCTTTAGTAATTATTCTTATAAACCATTCTTTATTTCCATAGGCTCAATTTCCAGTAATGGGAATGCTGATTTGAAGGGCATATGAATTGTAAAATGTAATAGATATTGTCAGATTGCTTTCTCAAAAGACTGTAACAATTCCTACTGCCTGTAGCCATATATGAGTATTTTCTTTCCCACATTACCACCATCAATACATATTGTCACTTTTTAAATTTCTGCTAGTACTAGTAATATTTCATTTTTCACTAATGAGATTGTGTATCTGTAGGTACTTAGTATTTTTAGGGTATTTTAAAAATATCATCAAAAATCCATCACATTTCAGTACTTAACTAATACATGGTATTCTACAAATATGTCTACAGAAGGCCACATCAGCTATCTGAAAAAAAAATTTCATGTACATATTTTTCTTCTGTTATGTGAAATAATTATCTAACTTCCTCTTTTATTTTCAGGAGCAAATTAAAAAATCGGAGTCACCTGACTAATTGTTTTCTTACACTTTAAACCCAGGAGATGACTAAATAGGTGGTAAGCTTCTACTACTAGGCATAAGTTTACTATGTGTCTCATTTGTTCGAAAGTAAATCTATATCTACTTTCAGAATGTTTAAAATATGTGGGCTATTGTTAATCTTAAGTATCTTGCAGTCAAGTTAGGAAAGGGTTGATTGCAAAGTCTTCCAGTCTGCTTTCTGTGGAACTATAGAGAGGAAAGGAAATTGCCCATTTCAAGGTGTGATTTTGTTCCATAAGTTTGAAATAGGTGAACTGACCTAAAGACAAAGAGAAATAATTTTGCTACAATTTAGAATCATGGTAGCCTCAGTACAAAGACATCCTTTTTGATAAGTTAAACACTGAAGCCATCAATCATGCTAACAATAAAACAGTCTTGCTAAGTGTAAAATCTTGAGACAGGAGCTTAGAAGCGGGCAGTGAGATTAGACTAGGTATTTGTCAAATAGGGTTATTAATGTGTATATTAAATATTTTTCATGTTTAAACTCTGAAATCTTACAAAATTGTTCTTTTTAGGTCATCATAGTAATTACAAAATATTACAGATTAATTCACTTAAGCCAGTCTCAACTTTTAAAGTCTAACAGAATTTTTACATGGGCAGCACTTGTCAATTTTGTGGTCACAGTTGGAAACATTTTAGTTAATATAAGAATGAGACTCAGGGGCTGGGGTTGCACCATATGTTGGGCTGCAGGTTGTGACACTGGCATCCAATATGGGCACCAGTTGGAGTCCCAGATATTTCACTTCCCATTTACTTCCTGATAATGTGCTTGTGAAAGCAGAGGAAGATGGTCCAAGTGTTTGGATCCCTGCCACCCACATGGGAGACCTGGATGGAGTTCCAGGCCTGGCAGTCTCAGCTTTTGCAGCCATTTGAGAAGTGAACCAGCAGATGGAAGATCTCCCTGTGTCTTTCCCTGTCTTTCTGTAATTCTGCCTTTCAAACAAATTTTTTTAAATAAAAAATGGGACACAAACTTATTTTAAATTTCTCTGAGAAATTTGAAGTGCATGATTGCTGTGGCTATATATGACAGCAATTGGCATATTATAGAGGCCAATGCAAATACATATATTTGATTGTAGTAGATAATTTCTCCCTTAGTGATATCATATTTCTCTTAAATTTTTTAGGCACATGTAGGCTGCTATATAAACTGAAGAGTGGGTGAATTATTTTATGTAAAGATATACAAAATTGTAGTTACTTGTTTCTGTGTGATAGAGACAGAAACTATGATATAAATTTTGTTGTCCTTGTGGCATTTTAAACAAGCAAAAAGTTAAACTGTCTATAAAGAAACTACATTTTATAAGTTTTATTATTAAATCTACCACTGCTTTGCTGACTAATAAAATGGAAAATGTGTGCTTTTATAGGTTTATAAAAAGGCAAACTATAGTTTCATGAAAAATATCTTGCACCGATTGAATACAGGTGGCTACTTGTTTAGACTTTGAAGATGTAAAAGCTTAGTATAGATGTCTGAAAAAGGTAATACGGCACAATAAAAAAAAATCTTCCTTTCTTCGCTCATCAATCCTTTGGGTATTCCATGTCAAATAAATGCTACAACAATTTATAGTAAAAGTACACAGTGGAAGTGCCAACGTTAACACTCCTTAGGACTGGATACCTGCCAGATTTTTCACACCAATATTTAATGTGAACCAAAATGTCTTTTCCATTGGAAGTGTGAGAAGGAGCTTGCTTTCCTATATTTGGCAACACGCTTATGTAAAGTATAAAGTCAAATGCCCGCGATGTTCTCTTTATTCCAACCATGATAAATTGTGTTCATTTGTTTAAGTGCATGTGGCAGCTTTAGTGTTCCAACTATAAATTTTGGTTAACTTCTATTGACATGCTGTATTAAACTTAAGAAAAACAAATTACACTTCACCCGTTTTAATTGACTAAATGTGTCAAAAACACAGTAAGTATAACATGAAAGGTCAGAGCCTTGGTCTACACTGTAATGGGTGTCATGGCAGGGATCCAACTTTTCTTGTACATTTCATTTTTCATGAAGTTTTAGGACAAGGCATACGTTTAACATTCACTTCCACTTCTCATTTGTATTTCAAAGTTTATCACAGACTGTGTTACTACCAAGAACACTTTTCTCTGGTGCTATTTAAAGTTTCTTTAGCACTGACGTGTGTGCCCTGAGAATACTGATGTTCTCCTGTAAACAAGGCCTTGGGAATGGATTCTGGCATTCTGAGGAGTGAAATACTGACTTACAAGCACACCCATAGATCACTGTAGCACTCCATGGAAAAGACCTGGCTTACATATTCAGTCCCCACTTCTGTGACTGAACAAGAGACCACATGGTACAAGTGGGATTAAAGTTGGCACACTGGATTCCCTTGGGATCTGATTAAAGTCACCAGTGTTAATTCCTAAACTCTATGTCCAAGGGTTTATATTAATCTCTATTCCTTTAGTAGTTTATTAGCTTAATGCCTGATGATTAAATCCTATGAATTAAGCTTTTGCTCACCTGTGGCCACTCACTTCTCTCTCTCTTTTTTCCGCCTAGTGGTATTTCATGGTGTGATATCTTTTGATATCCTTTCCCAAAATTTGATCCTTTTTAAGAATTCAGGCTTTAGTTTCTAGTGTGAAGTTATGTCCAGAAAACCTCAAATCAGAGCATGTATTTGCAAAGTACCATGCTTGCATTGAGGGAAACACGGATTGTACACCTGAAAGGTGTATTCTATTTCCATTACTATTTATAAGAATCTCGTTTCTTACTACATGCTCACAAGAACCCTCAGCTTTGTACCAGCAACATGGGCGTTGTCAATATTTACTTTGTTCTGATAGGCTTAGGAGAGGGAAGACTAATAATAGAGTCTTCCTTCTCCAAGAAGCTGAGATGGGTTGATAAAGCATAATCAGGGTTTGAAGTCTCCTTAAAGAGAGAAAACACTATTCCACCTTTTCATGTATCCTAGGGAAGCACTAATACCATGAAGCTTCTCTGAGAGCAAGGCTAGTTCTAAATTATGGGTTGGCAAACATTCTGTAAAGGGCCTGATAAGGAAACTTTTAGTCCTTGGAGTCCAGATGGTCCCTGTCATGACTACTCAGCTCTGCCATTGACAGTGCAGTCATTGACATTATGTAAACGAAGATGTGTGGCTGTGTTCCAATAAATATTTATGGGCAATGAAATTTGAATATCATATAAATTTCACATGTCATAAAATAGTCTTCTTTTGAATTTTTTCCAGCCATTGAAAAATGTAAACACCATTCTTTTCTTTCTTTTTTTTTTTCTTTTTTTTTTTTTTTTTTGACAGGCAGAGTGGACAGTGAGAGAGAGAGACAGAGAGAAAGGTCTTCCTTTTCTATTGGTTCACCCCCGTACCACACTGATCCGAAGCCAGGTGCTTCTCCTGGTCTCCCATGCGGGTGCAGGGTCCAAGGACTTGGGCCATCCTCCATTGTACTCCCAGGCCACAGCAGAGAGCTGGACTGGAAGATGAGCAACTGGGACAGAATCCGGTGCTCGGACCGGGACTAGAACCCAGGGTGCAGCAGATGGAGGATTAGCCTATTGAGCCTCAGCGCCGGCTGTAAACACCATTCTTAGCTTGGACTGTATGAAAACAATTGGCCTGAGGACCCTAGGTTGCAACCTTGCTCTAAACTAATATAATATTAATTTCTAAAAGTCTCTAGAAATGTAGGGAAATTCTTTTTTAAAATTAATTAGTTTTATTTATTTGAAAGGCAGAGGAGTCATCGTTGTGGTGCAGTGGGTTAAGCTGCTGCCTGTGATGTTGGTATTCCAAATGGCCACCACTATGTCCTGGCTGCGCCAAGACTTCTAATCCAGCTCCCTGCTAATGTGCCTGGGAAAGCAGTGGAAGATGGTCCAAGTGTTTGGGCCCCTGCCACCCACATGAGAGACTCAGAAGAGGCTCCTGGCTCCTGGCTTTGACCTGGCTCGGCCTTGCTGTGGGGGCCATTTGGTGAATGAACCAGTGGATGGAAGCTCTCTCTCTGTCTGTCCTTTTTTTGTAACTCTGAATTCCAAATAAATAAATAAATCCTTATTAAAAAAAACTTTAAAAATAAAAGTCAGAGAGGGGGGAGAGGAATAGAGAGAGAGGAAAAAGAGAGAGAGGGCAAGAACAAGAAAGAGATATTACACATCTGTTGATTTCTTCCCCAAATGCCCACAACACCCAGAGCAGAACTACAGTGGGGCCAGTAACCAGGAACTCAATCTTGGTCTCCCATTTGGGTAGAAGAAACTCAGCCACTTGAGCCATTATCTGCTGCCTCTCAAAGTCTGTATTGCAGAAAACTGCAATTGGATATGGGATGTGTGTGTCCCAAGCAGTGTCTTAACCGCTACACTAAATGCCCACTCCCAGGGAAGTTTTATTTTAAAGTAATGTTACCTAGTCTTTTATATGCAGCATTCTCTTATAGAAAAGTGTAGTTTCCTGTCCTTTCCTTCTTTGGTCAGAGCACTAGCATTTTGAATCTAATCGTATGGAATTAGGCATAGTAAACACTGCTGCTGCCCTCTCATACCTGCCTGGCACACACAATTCTGTGCATATTCACTCTACTGCCTCCATCAGCAGGCATGGAAGACTCTGGTTTTTCTCCAGCCCCTGGAGTGCTTTGGGCCTGTGTATAGATCATGTTGGAAGTGCTGCAGCATTAAGATCCCCTGGCTGTAGTCTTTGGACTGTGACTGAGAATTGGAGTGTAAATATAAATATGATTGACATATCTCAGAGCTACATTCTGTATTCTCTTCCTGAGTTCCTCCGTGGAATCAGAGCTCCAGTTGCACACAGCTGTAACCTGCTCTAAACATCTCTTTTTTGGTTTTCTGTCTTTCTGTTTTACGTCCCTACTTCTCTACTTGGTCTGTCCCAAGATCACTTCCTAAACAAACAAAATACTTGCTCATTAGAGTCTCAAAAGATCACTGCTATGATTTGGATATGGTGTGTCCCCCCCATGGTTTATGTGCTGGAAGCTGGGTCCTTATGGTGGTAAGAGGTGGTGAGACCTTTAAGAGGCAGGACCTAGTGAGAAATATTTAGCTTATTAAGGGTGCTGCCCTCAGAAGAGATTGATATTAGTTCTTGAAAGTGGATTGCTATAAAAGAATGAACTAGATCCCTCCCCTCAGTTTCTCACTTGCTGCCTTGCTATGCAATTGTACCATCTCTCTCTCTCTGTCTCTCTGTCTAAACACACACACACACACACACACACACAAAATCTATCATGAAATGATGTTGCAGGGGGTGGAAGGCAGACCTCCTGGAGATCCTGGGCCATGCTGTTCTCATTTTGAGCCTTCAAAATTCTGAGCTGAACAAGCCTCTTTTCTTATAAGTTACCCAGTATCAGGTATATTGTTATAGTAATAGGAAATGGACTAATGCAATTATGCATCCTCACATAAAAAAATCTGCTGTAAATAATGAAAGCTGGTGGCATAAATTCTAACTTATGCAGTTCCCCTTGAATATGTCATCAGATTCTGGCACTTCTCCTTTGAATATTGTAGGGATTTTCTCTTTCTCTCTTTTGTCTTCAACCAAAGGGCAGATCTTATGGCTATTAGTAGTCTGCATGATTGACAACCAAGGAGATTCCAAAAAATGGTGACATCTGCAGTCATGCCACACTGATTATCATCCCCTGAACAGTATAAGACAAGGCAGAAGAAGATAGGTCTAGGGGGACATTCTGCATTCTCTACCTCTTCTCCTACAACCATTCTGTAAACATGTCAAGGGATATCTTCATGAGAACTCACTTTCTCCTTTCCATTATGAAGTGTAGAATTTGGATGAAATAAAATAACAGGGCCTTTCTGAAAACCAGATTATTGAGAAACTTCACTCTGAATCAAGTACTCAGTAGATTTTCTTACTGCCACCCACCCCACTACACTTCCTGGCCTCTACTCACTTTCTTCCAAAGCCTCTATATTTTATGGCATACACAAATTATTCTAAAACATATTTTTTGGAGCATATTCAGAAAGTTGTTAAAAGGTTTTCACTCCTTATATTCTCTTTTCATTAGTAGGAAGTATGAATATGCTTTCCTAATGTTTCTCCTGTTTTTGAAAAGAACAATCACTTTGCTAATTGTGCTGTGAATGGAGAAAGAATGGGGGCAATCAGAAGTCTTTCCACGTAAAATGTTCTATGTAAAGAGATAAAAGCAGAGACACTAGGACTCTTTACAGCCACAGAGGGTGGAGGTGATGGTGACAAAACCATCTGAGAATAGTAAATTTGAAGTTGTTCAGATAAAGGACTATGCTTACCTAAAATAAGACCAACTAAAAATGAAGCACATTTATATATTATTCATTTGTGTTTTTAATAGAGGATCTCACTACTAATTCAAATTCAATAGTCAGATTTTAATAAATAGATGTTTGAATAGATAGTTGCCACCACATCAATTTCCATTTTTGATGAATGGTTAATCAATGTTTACTTGGACCAAAATTACCTTAGGCATTCTAGCATGAAAGAATGATACAAAAAGCTAAAGCGAGAATAAGGAAGTCCTGAGATGAACTTTGAATTGTACTTTTACAGGTCATATTTACATGCTTCAAAATGAAATATATGCATTCATATAGTTTTTTTTAAAAGATTCATTTTATTTATTTGAAAGACGGAGTTACAGAAATAGGTAGAGACAGAGGGGGTGGGGGAGAGAGAGGTCTTTGAACTGCTGGTTCACTCCACAAATGGCCCCAATGGCTGGAGTTGAGCTGATCTAAAGCCAGGAGCCAGGAACTTCTTCTGGGTCTTCCACATGGGTGCAGGGGCCCTGAGGACTTGGGCCATCCTCCACTGCTTTCCCTTGCACATTTTAGCAGGGAGTTGGATTGGAAGTGGAGCAGCTGGGACTCAAACTGGTGCACATATAGGATGCCAGTGCTACAGGCTGGGGCTTTAACAACTGTGCCATAGCACCAGCCACTCATTCCATATAGTTTTAGAACTTGATTTTAAATCCGCACAGAGTTAATATGCCAGTTTTGTTCAGCAATTGATCAAAATAATTCAGGAAAGAAAAACACAGTTGAAAATAGTCCCCTGTCTGGGGCTGGCATGATTGCTCATTTGGTTAATCCTCCACCTGCTGTGCTGGCATCCCATATGGGTGCCAGGTTCTAGTCCTGGTTGCTCTTGGTTGTTCCAGGGGGCCCCTGCACCTGCATGGGAGACCAGGAGGAAGCACCAGGCTCTTGGCTTCGGATCGGTGCAGCGTTGGCTGTAGTGGCCATTTTGGGGGGTGAACCAACAGAAGGAAGACCTTACTCTGTCTCTCTCTGTCAAATAAATAAAAAAAAAAACCTTTTAAAAAATAAAAGAAAATAACGAAGAGAAAATAGTCCCATGTCAAAGAAGAGGCATGTATGAGAAGAAATCCTCTCATTTAGCTTTATTATAGATACAAATTTGGGTAGAACAATGAGTTTTATGAACGCATTTTGTATATAGGCTATGTATTGGGTGCTAAAGGCACCACAATGACTTGCATACATTCTCTGGCATATGCAGTCTACAATCTAGTGACCCCCATTATCAGCACCAAAAATGGTAAAGGAAAACCCACCAAGTGCTTTGTGTTCTTTGATTGATTCTCTACTGCAGTGTGAAAAATATGTGATGTGATCTAAATTTTACCCATTTGTAGATTTACATGGACATTATCCATTCATTTATTCATCTACTAACTCACTCATTCACTCTATACTTTTTGGCTATGTTCTATGCGTTAAATACTGTACTAAATTTTTTTTTTTTTTTTTTTGACAGGCAGAGTGGACAGTGAGAGAGAGAGACAGAGAGAGAAAGGTCTTCCTTTGCCGCTGGTTCACCCTCCAATGGCTGCCGCTGCAGCCGGCGCACCGCGCTGATCCTGGCAGGAGCCAGGAGCCAGGTGCTTTTCCTGGTCTCCCATGGGGTGCAGGGCCCAAGCACCTGGGCCATCCTCCACTGCACTCCCTGGCCATAGCAGAGAGCTGGCCTGGAAGAGGGGCAACCGGGACAGAATCCGGCGCCCCAACCGGGACTAGAACCCGGTGTGCCGGCGCCGCAAGGTGGAGGATTAGCCTATTGAGCCACGGCGCCGGCTCTGTACTAAATTTTTCAGATGTCCTCATAGAGCTTAGTATCTGAATTTTCCATGTGGGTGGTGAGAACCCAATTACTTGAGCCTTCACCTGCTGCCTCCCATGGTGCGCATTAGGAGGAAGCTGAAATCAGTAGGGTGTAATTAAAATCGAATAGTGATGTTATTGAGTTTCAAAACAAGCCATACATAGAAGTTGAATGATGGCAGATTAAAGTCTCCTAGGATTTCTTGCTGACAACATATCACTGCAATTTTATGATGACAGAAGATAATATGATGACAGGATATCTTTTATATTATGTTTAAAGGTTTAGTTGCCAAGTGTTGCTCTTAATACTCTATATAAATCCCATGTATCAAAATTCAGTCGAATGAATGTTCACTTTTCCTTCTGGTCATGTGATTGATCCTTCAGATAAAGTCTTTTACATCGTGGATGGATGTCCACCACCACACAGTCACTGCCCATCTCACTTCATCATTGCTTGGGGCTCTCAGCTGCACTTCATCATATATCATCGCCTTTGAGCCTGCCCTGGTCACGCCACCTCGCACTTCATCACTTCTTGCATTCTTTGTAAGCTCTCAGTCTGGTTACAGGAATTGTTTGTGTTGTCTACTAATTCATTATTTAAAGCAAATATAAATTAATCAAACTTTGTTGGTATCTGGTACAGTTCATTTTAATTGATGAAAACAGTGACTATTTAGTTGTTCATCATCAAAAAGGAGTAAGTCATGATAAAATGCAGTCAAGAAGATGTTATGGGCTATTATGTAGTTTCTGGGCTTTATTCTTGTCTATACTGATTTTGTGATACTGAACAGGCAATCTATCTCTGGGGACTTTTATTACATTAAACCAAAAGAAATAAAGATACCGTGGAATGCTCTGTTGAGGGGGTCAACATTATGAGTTGATCATGAAGCCCCTGATGATGCTAACTTCAGCAAGTGATTACTTTGAGTGCATTTCATTTTTTGTTGTTGTTGGCAGCATCTCAATCCTAAACAACTTTGACCTGAACAGGTCGAACGTTTGTGAAGTAAGCTGGACATCTGAAAAAAAATCTCTATTCAAAATTAAAAGTACTATTGTTCTATGGTTTCCTATTGATTTAGATAGATTTTTATGAGTCAATTATGCTTTCAAGTTTTCTAATGCAAAGTTAACAGCAATATATTTTTATTATATGATGGAAATGACCATGGCAAATATAATTTTTCACAGTAATCACATTTTATTCATTCTCATGTATTGTGAAGAGCAATTTCTCATTTTTTTGCTGTAATGATCTCAAATACCAAAGTAGATTTTCTATCATTCTAAGTGCAGTAGAATAAAACACTGTATATTTAAAAGTTTATCATTTGGATGAGCATTGTGATACAGCAGACTAAGTTAAGTTACCATGTGCTACACATACATTCCATATTTCAGGGGCCTGAAATTTATCCTGCCTCTGCCTCCACTTGTGATGTAGCTTCCTGATAATTCACCTGGGAGACAGCAGATGACGGCCCGAACATTTGGTTCCTACTACCCAAGTGGGAGAACTCAATGAAGTATCTGACTCCTAGTTTTGACCCAGCTCATTCCCAGTTGTTACAGGTATTTGGGGATTGAATATATAGATGGAAAATCTCTCTGTCTCTCCTTTTCTTTGTATCTCCCTTTCTCTGAAATTCTTTTTTTTAAAGATTTATTTATTTATTTGAAAGTAAGAGTTACACAGAGAGAAGATAGGCATAGAGAGAGAAGTCTTCCATCCGATGGTTCACTCCCCAAGTGGTTGCAGTGGCCAAAGCTGTGCCGATCTGAAGCCAGGAGCCAGGAGCTTCTTCCAGGTCTCCCGCTTGGGTGCAGGAGCCCAAGGACTTGGGCCATCCTTTACTGCTTTCCCAGGCTTAGCAGAGAACTGGATCAGAAGTGGAGCAGCTGGGTTTCGAATCTGCGCCCATATGGGGTGCTGGTGCTGCAGGCCAGGGCATTAACCTGGTGTGCCACAGTGCCAGTCTCTGCATTATATCTTTCAAATAAATAAATACTTTTTTTAAGTTCACCATTATCACATTTTACTGCAATCTGTTTTGTTTGCCATTGAGTTTCAACTTGGTTTGACAGAACCTAGGAAGCCTAGCCAGCAATTTCAAGTTATAATGTGAAAGGACTGATTTACAGTAGATTATCATACTTTAATAATTCTAGAGTTATGCACATATAGATATTATGGTACCTTTCTTATTGATGTGACTGACTCATTATATAATGTGTTGGTATAAATTTAATTTATACTATTTATATATATTCATACTATTTATATTATAATTTATACCATTACAGTGGGAAAATATTCCCAAAGGAGGCACATTTGTTATTATTTAAAATATTATTTTAGCATTAATACTAACCTCTAATAACCAAGACCTCCTTGGGTTCGTCATTATTGTACAGGTACTACCTCATGGTATTAATCATATGCTACAGCTAAGCAGGCAGGTGTGTGTGATTAAATTTTACTTTTGTTTCTGTCTTTCTCTTTGGCCTGTGGGTTATAAGTCTTTAATTATTCAGATGATGATGAGAAAGCCCTGTCTTTAGAGTTCTTCAAAAATTTACAGAGGGGGCTGGCGCTGTGGCGCAGCAGGTTAATGCCCTAGCCTGAAGCGCTGGCATCCCATATGGGCGCTGGTTTGAGACCTGCCTGCTCCAGTTCCTATACAGCTCTCTGCTATGGCCTGTGAAAGCAGTAAAAAGATAGCCCAAGTCCTTGGGCCACTGCACCCAACTGGGAAATCTGGAAGAAGTTCCTGGCTCCTGGCTTTGGATTGGCACAGCTCTGGCCATTGCAGCCAATTGGGGAATGAACCATCAGATGGAAGACCTCTCTCTCTCTGCCTCTCCTCTTTGCCTCTCCTTCTCTCTGTGTAACTCTTACTTTCAAATAAATAAATAAATCTTTAAAAAAAGTTACAGAGACAATTTTTTCTTTAGTTAAAATAATACATTTCATTTAGTTGCCTGAAATTGCAACTGGTTTGCACTTTGAAGCACTTTGGCATTGTTGGTAGGTTTTCTCTTAATATTTATTTATTTATTTATTTATTTATTATCATCTACTTTAAAGGCAGAGAAACAGAGATAGAGAGATAGAGAAAAAGAGAGAGAGGGAGAGAAAGAGAAAGAGATCTTACATTGGCTGGTTCACTGCCCAAATGCCTACAACAACCAAGGCTGGGCCAGGCTGAAACCTGGAGCCTGGAAATCCATCTTGATTTCCTGCATGTATTTCAATGGCCTATGCACTTGGGTCATCATCTGCTGTCTTCCAGGATGCATTAGCAGGAAGCTGGATTATTAGTGCCTTGAACTGGCACTCTAATAAGAAATCAGATGTTCCAAATGGTGGCTTTACTCACTGTGACACAACATTCACCTGGACCAAGTGAGATTTATCCCTGGTATTCAGGGATGGAGCAACATATGCAAATCAATAGATAATGATACATCATATTAACAACTTAAAAAAACCACATGATTATCTTAATAAATACAGAAAAAGCATTTGATAAAGTGCAATATCCTTTCATGATAAAAACCTTAAGCAAATTGGATATGAAAGCATTCCTCACACAATCAAGACAATACATGACAAACCCACAGCCAGCATCATTTTGAATGGGAAAATTTGGAAGCTTTTCCACCAAGATCTGGAACCAGAGAAAGATGCCCACTTTCACCATCGCTATTCAATATAGTTGTACAAGTTTTAGACACAGCCATTAGACAAGAAAAAGAAATCAAAGGGATACAAATTGGAAAAGTGAAAGTCAAATGAACTATGTTATCAGATGATATGATCCTATTTATAGGGAAATCAAAAGACTCCACTAAGAGGCTATTGGAACTCATAAGAGAGTTTGGTAAAGTTGCAGGGTATAAAATCAACACACAAAAAATCAATAGCTTTTGCATACACAGACAATGCCATGACTGAAAAAGAACTTGTGAGATCAGCCCTATTCACAATAGCTACAAAAAATTAAATATATTGGAATAAATTTAACCAAGGAGGTAAAAGATCTCTACAATGAAAATTACAAAACATTAAAGAAAGAAATAGAAGAAGACACAGATACATACACACACACACACATATACACACACACAAATGGGAAAATCTTCCAGGTTCGTGAATTGGAAGAATTAATGTAATCAAAATGTTCATACTACTGAAAGCAATTTACAGATTCAGTGTGATCCCAATAAAAATACCACTGAAAGTTTTCTCAGATTTAGAAAAAGTGATGCTAAAACTCATATGGAAACACAATAGACCCTGAATAGCTAAAGCAACCCAAAACAACAAGAACAAAACTGGAGGCATCACAATGCCAGATTTCCAGACCTACTATGGGGCAGTTATAATCAAAATAGACTGGTAGTGTCACAAAAACAGACTTATAGACCAACAGAACAGAATAGAATTCCTAGAAATCAATCCATGCATTACAACCAATTAATCTTTGACAAAGGAGCTAAATCAATCCCTGGAGAAAAGATAGACTCTTTAACAAAAGGTTCTGGAAAAATTGGGTCTTCACATGAAGAAACAGGAAAAAGATTCCTCCCTTACACCTTATACAAAAAGCAACTCAAATTGGATTAAGGACCTAAATCTACAACCAGATATCCTCAAATTACTTGAGGGAAACATTGAGGAAACACTTCAAGACATTGGCATAGGCAAAGACTTCTTGGATAAGACCCCAGAAGCGCAGGCAATAAAAGAAAAAAAATACTCAGATGTGGTTACATCAGGCTAAGAAGATTCTTCACCACAAAGGAAACACTTAATGAAGCGAAGAGGCAACTGACCGAATGGGAGAAAATGTTTTCAAGCTATGCAATAAAGGATTAATATCTAGAATCTATAAAGAACTTAGGAAACTCAATAACAACAAAACAAACAATCCCATCAGGAAATGGGCAAAGGACATGAACAGGTAGCTTTCAAAGAATGCAATTCAAATGGCCAAGAGACACATGAAAAGCGCTCAGGACCACTAGTCATCAGGAAAATGCAAATAAAAACTGCAATGGGGTTTCACCTCACCTCAGTTAAAGGCTGTCATCTGAAAATTAAAAAACAGAAAATGCTGGGGAGAATGTAGGGAAAAGCACACCCTAATACACTGTTGGTGGGAATGTAAGCAAGTACAACCATTATGGAAGACAGTATGGAGATCCTTAGAAATCTGAAAGTAAATTTGGGAATTTATCCAAAGGAAATGAAATCAGCATATGAAAGAGTTATCTGTACCTTCCATGTTTATTGCACCCTCATAATAGCTAAAATATGAAATCAACCCAGATGAAGACTAGATAAAAAAAATTGTGGTATATATATATGTACACTATGGAATACTACTCAGTTATAAAAAATGTAATCCTGTCTTTTGCAACAAAATGGATGCAACTGAAACCATTATGCTTAGTGAAATAAGCCAGTCCCCAAAGACAAATGATATATTTTCCATGACTTATGATAATTAATATACAGAGCACAAAAAGGAATGCATGTGAATAAAATTTATATTTTGAGTTTTGATTATTTGTACTCCTTGTTTATACTCCTGAGGAGCATTGGTTTTTCTAATTTACTACTTGTTGAATTCTTTATTTGGTGGAGGATTAAACTTGTGATTATAAAATAAACTGAAAGTATGTCATAGATATGATGTAATTTCATCTTTATTTGTTTCCAGACATTTTTTGATTTATTTTTTTGATTTTTTTTATGACCTACTGTTCATTTAGGAACATGTTGTTCAGTCTCTGTGTGTCTGCATATGATTTAATGATTCTTGAGTTGTTGATTTCCAGCTTCATTCCATTGTGGTCAGAGAAGATGCATGGTATGATTTCAAGATTTTTGAATTTGCTGACTTGCTTTATGGCCTTCATATCATCTATCATAGAGAAATTTCCAAGTACTGGTGAGAAGAATGTGTATTCTGCAACTGTGAGGTGAAAAGTTCTGTAGATATTAAGTAGGTCTATTTGGTCCATAGTATCGATTAGCTCTGTTGTTTCTTTGTTGATTTTCTGTCTAGTTGATCTGTCCATTGATGAAAGCGGGATGTTGACATCCCCCTTTATTATTTTATTGGTGTCTATGTCTCCCTTTAGATCCATTAACATTTCTTTTGAATAGCCAGGTGCCCCATAATTGGGTGCATATACGTTTGTTATAGTCACATCTTCCTGTTGAATTGATCCCTTAATCCTTACATAGTGTCCTTCTTTAACTCTTTTAACAGTTTTTATGTTAAAATCTGTTTTGTTTGATATTAGAATAGCAACACATGCCCTTTTTTCTTTCCATTATCATGGAATGTCTTGAGGCCACTTACATTCAAGG